TATGTAAGCTTTTCGAAAAGGTTCACTCGAATCTTTTCAAAAATTTAAAGGCTAAAGAAAGAAAATTCGATGTTAAGAATTCCTACGAAATATCAAGGATATAAAGAATTGATTAACGAAAATCGGTCTAAACAGAAGTGCAGAAAAGATTATTTTCAGCTGAAAAGTCAATCGATTATCGTTAGTAAAATTAGCAAACTAAGCTTCTTAAAAAAACACTCGATACTTTATCGTAAATCGTGCTCAAGTGCTTTTTAAACACTTCTGTGATTCATTGTTAGGTGGAAAATGATCCCTAATTATCTAAGAAATACAAGAAAAATAATCTTCGTCGTTTTCTCGCAATTCTAGTATGTGATTTATTTTACACGAAATACTATGAAATGTACAAACCTATTTTTTAAAAATAAGTATTACTGTAGAAAAGATTAATGCATTTCTGATTTTTTAAGATATATCGTACGTTATGAAAAGAGATTTTTGTATTGAAATTAAAATATATTAAAATCGTATCAAAAGGAGGAAATAGGTTAAAAACTTTGTTCCTTAAAATTCTTTCGTCATACCTTTTTCTTTCTTTCAAATCTTATTCCAAAACTTTCTATCCCGTCTTCAAAACTCGATTTCTTTCTCACGCGTATATACCTCAACTTCTTTATACCTGAACCCACGTTCCAATTGCATGCAAAAATTCCTAAAGTAATATCAAACAAAAAATTAATCTCTGTCTCTCTCTCTCTCTTTAAAAAAATCCTCCAGTTTTCCTTTTTAAATAAATTAATGAACGCAGTCCGTGTTGCACTTCGTTACACACACCATCTTCAATGATATAAAGAAGTCTTTAATTAAAGTAGCAACCCCCCTGAATTCATGCAGTGTCAACCATGCACACTTTCCAATAAAGGATGAAACATTAAAGGAGGGTTAAAATATGGAAAGAATAGAGCGAATTTTAAAATTAAAACATCAGAAAATCGATTTATGATATCCGCCATTTTATAAATTTATTTCATGAATAAACCGCGATTAATTAGTGGATGAAATACAAGGAAGCTAATTAGGGATGTAATTTACGTTTGCACGTTGAAAAATCTTGAAATACTTCTTCCTCCGTATTTTTTTCCTCCAGTGAGAAAAAGAGATCCTAAATCAAATAATGAAGCGCATTTATGCTAATTCATACAATGATATACGAATCTACAATTTTTCATTCTGAATCAGAGGAATATTTTTTCGAGAACAAGGAAATCCAATAGATGGAAACTGAACTCATAAGTTATCATTGATGAAAAAAATACAAGCAAAGTTCAAGATTAACTACATCGAGACAAAAGATTTACACGGTGAAGGCACGAACATAATTCCAATAGAAATTCCACCTAAATTATGCTCGAAAGAAACGTAACAAGGTTTCGAAGTTAAACCATTAAATATCAATAACGACGTCGGTGCATAAGCTGCAAGCAATAATACACCCTGAGTCGCATGCAACATTTCACGTTTTCCAATAAGGGTTGAGGCTAAACTGCAATTCGCCGGGAAGAAATACAGCGAGGATCGAAATTAAAGCATAAACGACGCCAATTTATGCGAGTAACACCCTGGATTGTATGCTGGACGACTTGCACGCTTTCCAACAGGGGGGGGAGGTTCGCGACGAGCTAAGGTGGCGGAAGAAATATAACAAGAGTCTAAATTCAAAGCATGAATTAAAGATACCTATTTATACAATAACATCGGATTTATACAATATTTGCATGCGATATTTCGTGTTTGTCAATAGCGAGCGAATTAATCTCACTTGCTTTTGACATGATATCACATAACTATCAAAATTATAACAACATATGTATGTATGTATATCATGTATATCGACAATAAATATAATTTAATAATAAAAATTATTATATTCGTTTTATTCTTAATCTAACCTATATATATATATATATCCTAAGAATTATCGCACGAAATGAACAATAATCGGTTCCAAAAACTTTCGACATCGACAAAGTAGGCGGGCGACACGGTAGCTTTGAACTCGCGGAAATCTTCCTTGGGATCCTTGGCCCAGATATTTCCTGCACGTGATCGAACGCCTGGTCAGCGTTTGCTGCACGTAATCGACCGACCTCCTCTCTCCCCCCACCCCTGTTATAGAATAAGGAAACGATGACAACACAGAGCCGAATGGATCGAGATGGAAAATCGCGCCGCAACGCGGACATTCCTCTGTCGAAAACGATTCGATACTATTCAATTCGATTCCATTTGACCCGATTCAACCCTGGTTTGAACCGGTGATACAAGACACTCGAATGGGGCATATTGAATGTCGTCTCTGAAACGATCGACAGTATCGCGTTCCGATACCCCATTTGACACGTGGCATTCTTTTTTCCCCTCCCTCCTCCTCTCTTTTCAAAGATTGGGAATAAAGTGGAAGATTGATATACAGTGGGATATACTGGGATTACTGAAATTTACAAGGGAGTGGGTGGATTGTTATATTTCAGATATTCTTTTCGTCTTTTCTACTTGTTTTTTTTTTAAATTATAGAGAATAGTTTAATCAACTTCATCATATGGAATATATTTAAAAAAAATGTTTGTTATAACATAATACATATATTGCAAAAAGAATAACATAAAATTGAAAATGTTTTTCGAAGAAACGATTATCTGCTATATTTCAACACTTTATCGGAAGTAAAGAAAAAGAAATGATTAGGAAAGAGAAAACAAACTGTGGAGATAAAATGAACAGGAATTTGCACATGAATATTTATGAGGCAACGGGTTAACGCAGACGCTTCATTAAAAATTCCCAACTTTAACCTTGGCTCTAGTTAAATCTTAAGAAATTAGCAATGAGTGGCCGCGATCAGAGAATATCGATCCACGTCTCTCGCTTGAACGGTTTACTTTTATTTCCTTAATTATCAGACGACGGTGAGTAATTATCGGAGAAAGTGCACTTCGCTCTGAATAGCGGTGCCTGTTGATAATCCGCGGTATTAGAGGCCAGCCTCGATATTCTAGTGCATCATCGATCTACGAGACTTCTCTCCCAATATTTCTAGTTTCATTTCAATGAATGAAACAAATTTGAGATCCATCTCATGGATTGAATTCCAGATTCACTTCGCACTCGGAATAGCTAGTGCAGTAATAATTAATCTATCACATCGTTTAAAACGATAATAATCGACTGAAGTTAATTATCGCACGTAATAGAATTTTTTTCACAATTAAAAATCGATTGTTATCGATATATCGATATATTAAGAGAGTATCCTAATCAATTCAATTCAAAATAATACTTGCATACTTGTTAATATAACAAAATACGAAATATCCGACAATTACGTTAATTCTTTCTACATTTACAACTTAAAAATTCATCGTGGAAAATTTTCAAAAATTTTCAAAAGCTTCGTATATATGTGTAATACAGTGTCGCCATCGCAGTTAACCTAGCGAATTCGTGGATAAAAATCGCGGTAATGGTAGTAGCATTAATGGCGTTTCCACGATTAATGCGCGCGTTAACGATACGCCGATTACGACGCATTACGTCAAAATGCAAAATGATAAACGCATGCCCACCTGCTTCACAACAAGCGACTCGAGAAGACAAATCTCGAAAAAAAAATCGTAATAAAAAATGAAAGCAAAAAAATTACCTATTCGTTGAAAGAAAAGGAAATTCACGATAAATAAATTTATAACTCAATCGCGGCTCCATTTTGATTCTCTACTATTAAACGCAATAATGAAATTCTTTTATGATTCAATTTTTTTTTCCTTTTAACAATTAAACAGCAAGGTGATTCGTAAACGTCATCATCACGTTATCACTCTAGCTAAATTTGTTATGCATTACATTTGAGATCGACTATCGATTCAATATGTTTACGAAAACATATGTATGCTATTATTATAGATTAATATGTGAATTATCGCGTAATCTCTAAATTTAATACCTTGTATACAAAGATTATTTAAATATCATATTAGTTATTATATAATATAAAATATATAATATTTATTACAATTTATAAATATATGAAAAATTGATTAATTTGTAATAATGATATTTATTTGTACGATATTTTGTAATAAATTTAATAAAGATAATATCCAAATATTAAAGGTGAATAATTATAGACATGAAATGAAATCGATAATCGAATATATCGATAAATCGAAAAATTGATGAAAAAATAAGAATCGTAGACGAGTTTCAATTTATTATCAAATTTACTGATAATATGGAAGTCAATCGAGATAGCCGTAAAGTCAAAACGAAACACGAAAAGGCCGAATCGCGTATCTAATCGATCGAAATTCGATGTCCGAAGGTCATCGCAAGTAACGTCACTTCAAGCATTTTAGTCACATGTTTGTTCTTTGTCACGCGGTTTTACCGTACGACAACTAACGACAACCATGAGCTCCGTTTTCTTTGCAAAACGAACGAAAACGGAAGAGAAACACGCAAAATAAGAGGATTTGAATTCGGGAATTTTAACGAAATTCGCTCGCGAAGGATATGTCGTTAAAGAATCCGCGAGATAAGATGAGTGGCACAATGATGTCTGAAATAAGGATTCGTGACTTTACATATTTTGGACAAAGGAACAACAAAGATACAATTAGTAAACACTACAGAAGTACGACTTGTAAGCTACAAACTCTTCTTTTTATCTCATGCACGCTTCCTTTCGAATAGATAGAACCGATACAAGTGTGAGATAAGGGAACGTGAGAAGATAACGAGACTCGTACCGAATGGCAGGTGAAAACACCGGTCATCTAGTGGACCATAGAAAAAACGTCACTGTCAAAACGTACTCCGATCGTAAAACGTTATCGAAGGTTGATTTTAGAATTGCCAACCGATAATACCATACTCCAATACGCACTAATAACGGCAAACAATGGAATAATAATGGAAGAAAAGATGATAAAATAATGATATTTATTTTAAAAGTACATACCTCTACGATTGAACGGCCGAACCCGAACGGCAACCTTTATTTTATCCGTAGCCATGATTTCACACCGGTAACGCGCACTGTATATTCCGATCACAAGGAACAACTCAACGCTTTTGAATACACAAATATAATATTCACACGATCTTCATAGCGCTACATTATTCTCAACCCATTCCGCGAACTTTTCATCTTTTCAAACGACACTACGTCTCACCGAGCCCATGACACACTTCGCCATATTGCTTGAAGCTTGTCGTGCGCCAGACGACAATCGTCCTATCGAGTGAACGTACTTCTGAGAACTGCCGCTAGGAACGCTCGGGAGCTTCGAGTCCTGTGACGTCACGTGTCCTGCCGTCTACCATCTAGTGATCAAATATGAAACTAAAAGTTTCAATTGCAAATTATCAATCGATAAAAAGGTTTTGAATTACGAATTCCCGCGTTATTCAAAATATGCAAATATATTTTCTACTTCTGGAAAAGTTTCGCATATTTTATTAATTAAAAAAAATTACTATGCACGATAGAATAACTATGATAGAAAACAACTTATGCTTTAACAAATTATAAGATTTTAAAGAATTATTCTCAATAAAAATAAAAATATTAAATAAAATCGATATTGAATCGATAATATTGTTTGATTATTTCGTATCCTATTATATAATCTAAAAATATAACATAATTTTAAATATATAAATTTAGCAATCTAATAATATATAAATTTTTACATAAATTATTGAAAAATACTTTGAATATATTTATAGATAAATTAAAATTATATATTTCTTTCCTTTCTCTCCAAGTGCTTGAGTATTTAATTACTGTATTAAATTTATATTGTAAACAGCTAAATTTTTTTTTTTTTTTTGATATTATTTTCATTCGATATTTTAAATTACCAAAAATCGGTACACGAGATAAGTGACATCTTATGGAATTTTACATCATATATTCTGAAATACCGACTTCGAAAAGATCAGAGTGCTTTTTGCGCCCTCTGCGATTTTTTATGGCTAATATAAAAATTACGTTCAAGTCATTATTGAAAACGATATACAATAATGCATCCTAAAAAGACGTTATTTTGAGACCAACCATTGCCAATTATAGAAAAAGTATGAGTTTAGATTAAAAAATTTAGATTTTTTTATAAATCTAATGATTCTGGTTTGATAAAAAAATAAAAATTTATATAGAATAAAAGATAGTTACCTTTTCACATGAGAGATGATTCCATTATTTTCTTGATGAACTCTAATAATATCGAATTCTAAAATAATATCGATAACATATAATTAAAAAATAAAATAAAATAATAAATAAAACAATATTAATTCATTCATTTAAATTATAATCAACGAACAAACACTTTAATTTCGTGAATAATTATTAAAATTCAATTAAATTAGATCTGTCATATTTACAAACTATGGAAAATGTATACATTAATAATACTTAAACATATACTTTCGTTTCTAATATGATTAAAAATATAAAATCTATTCTAAATACTTTTGATAAAAGAAATAGAATCTTACCAGATTTGCAGGGAAATCATCGTACACTTTATATATGCTCTAAACTATTATTTCTTCGATATCTTTCTAAAAATAACGATAATCTGTAAAATAAAAATCATAATAAAAATAATGAATTCATGAATAACATAATAAATTAAACTTAAATCCTAACTCAAAAATTTATAATACAATTTATCGATAACAATCAAAAATTACTAAAATAAAACGATAATAAAGTTTACGAAACTATTTAATTTTGATATACTTAATAAATAATTAATAAATAATTATTAAACAATTAAATGATATAATTAAATAATTTCTAATTGTTTATAAATTATAAAAGAATACGTATTAATAAAAATTTTACGCAATTACTTACCTCTGTCGGCGTAAGACGTCCCATCAACACGAGTTTCGGCGGTAGAATGACATGTCCCCGCGCAAATGTGCTTTATTGTTATTCTATTGGCCGGAATGTTATGGTTTCTTATTCGCCTAAAATCGCGCGGAAAATTAAAGTATTGTATAACATTGTAACTGTAAATTAAAGATAATAAGAAATAATTAAAAATATAATAAGAATAAATTTTTTTAAATTTTACACTTACATTTTTTACCGTTATATTTTTTTACTTATTATAATATTTTATAGTGTATATTATATATTAATATATTAATATTACATAATATTTATAAATTTTTTTTACCCTAAACTATAATTTAATATTATTATTTATTATAATTTTTTTGACTTTCTTCGAATTTATATTTTTATCGTAAAATATAGATTATAGAATATTAATGATATAAGATTAGAAAATTATTAAGATTGATATTTTTTTTTAATTTATAGTTTATTTATAATTTCACTAAAATTTAAATTCTAATCATCGTTAATATAAAAATTTCTAGATAGTAAATTCTAAAAAACATCAGCATAAAAAAAATTAATTTTTCTCAAATTAAATTTTTCATTACAAAATACTTAATTGAAGTATAAAAAAATATAATACATTTTGCTTTTCTTGTAATAAAATTAATTTATTACATAATAAATTCAATATTGAATTTTCGATACATCGAATCGTATATCGAAAATATCTCGACGTTATAGTTATATCGATAAAATTCTCGATAGCTTTTTTACGTATTATACACTTCTTATTAATAATTTTGGCGGTATGTGTTAAAACGATCTATTTTAAGATATCTATTAATTTTTTCTAAACTATAAAAATATAAATGTATTTTATTTTATAAATCTTATCAATTTAAAATCTCATCAATGATTATTAAACTTGCTAAAGTAATAAGTTGTTCTTCAGAACACTCATCCTATCCTGTTTCTAATCTTTTGCAACATCGTTCAAATTCTTCATGGCGTTGTGCCAAACCTGGAGAAATGCTTGCTACTGTTATTTTTCAAATGGCAGAACCATCTTGTATCACTGGCTTGGATATTGGCAATTATCGTAGTTGTGTAGTAGTTGTTACTGCTTCTACTTCATTGGAACCTGACAATTGGATTCCTATTGTAAATCATCAATTTTTAACACATGATGAAGCTGTCAATGGCCAATTTAAAGATCAAGTACAGATATTTGCAAAAAAAGATCTTAATCCAGACACATTAAAAATAAAGTTTGATCGTGTAAAAGTAACTTGCATGCAATCTGCAAATTTAAAAGAATTATTTGGATTATCTTTTATTGTATTGAAAACAGAAGTTGTAGTTGATTTAGGATTAGATGTTTTTGGAAGATTTAAATTAAAAAATTCAGAAGAAGATACTGACAAATTAATAGATAATTTAAAAGAAAAATATATGAAAATGATAAACAATAAAAAACCAGACTATAAAAGTGAATTACTTGCAAAGATTAAAGAAACTAGTATGAATAATTTTTCTATACGACAAGAAGAGAATAGAGAACCAATGAAAAGACCACTATTGGAAAAATTAGAAGCTGGAAAAAAAGAAGAAGTATTTGGAACTAAAAAAAAAGAATCTAATAGTTCAATTTCAATAAATGATTCTAAACAAAAAAATAAAAAAATTGAAAATGATAAACCAGTAGTAAGAACTCCATTTGGTGATATTGTATCTTCACCTTCATTTAAAACAATAAAAAAGATACAAAAAAGAATGAAAACCAAAAATATAATAATATAAGTACTAGAAAACGTTCTTTAAGTCCTGAAGAAGGTTCATCAAAAGAGAATGTAAATAAAAAAAACAAGATTGTTCTCAATGTCAAGATGAATCTGAAGATAAAATATGCAATAATTGTGGATTATTATCAAAACCTAAACTAATAACTAGGCCAGAAAAAGTTGCAAAAAAGCAAGATAATCAAAACCCAAAAAAATTATTTTCAAAACTTTTTGAAGATGTATCATTTTCACTTAGTGGTTATGTTAATCCGCAGAGAGATGAAATTAGGAGAAAGGCTCTTCAAATGGGAGCAAAATATATTGCTGATCCTAATACAACTAATAAAAAATGCTCTCATTTAATTTGTGCCTTTAAAAATACACCAAAGCATCAACAATTAAAGAACTATTCTAAAATTGTTTCACACAATTTTATTGAAGATTGTTTTAATGAAAAGAAAAGGTATAATAAATTATAATCTATAATGTAGAAGAATAAATAAAAAACATTATATAATAATTTTTAATAAAATTATATAATAATTTTAAATTTTGTTTTAGATTTCCTTGGAGGCGTTATGCTTTGGATGTCAAAGATAAATCTGAACCTGAAAGTGAAGAAGAAATTTTAGGTAGTTCATCTCCACCTAGAATAATTAATGTATTTGATCAAGATACTGATTCAGATTCTAATTACTAAAATTATAATATTTTCTAATATAATATAATATAATATATATTTATATTATCTTCTAAAGTAAAATTTAATATGTACATAATAAAAATATTAAATAAATTAATTTTTGTACAAAATTTTTCTTATTATTAGTAACACATCAAATTTTTATGATACGAAAGTAGTAAATCTTGTTACATAAAAATTTGTAATATATTCTTTCATATTTTATAATAAATATTTATATAAAATTTTATGTTTTAACAAAAATCTATGTATCTTAGATACCACAACAAAAATTTGAATTTAGAAATGTGAAATTTAAAAAATTCAATTGTTTGGCGGTAATGCAACAAAATCACACAATGACTTAATTACATAAAATTTTGGCTAATAAATTCAAAAAATTAAAAATGGCATTTATATTTACTTTTAGGAATTATAATATATAATATATAAATTACCAAAAAAATATTTTACTAATTCCGGAAAGCAAATCGTCAATTGCATTGAAACATCAATGGCGTAAATACGAATCGAGAAACTTCAAAACTTGTTTGTCACTAAGTGTTAAAATGGTTGATACAAATAATATATTTGGTTTTGAACTTTTCCAAGAAATATATAATAAACAAATTACAAAAAAGGAGGACTTATTAATTCTGTTTATTCATTGGTATCTTATAAAACAGGGATTTAGATGCATTGGAATCGGCGATTCTGTAAGTTATTACAGAGCTTTTGTTTTTATAAATTATTGCGCAATTATAGAATTTTGTATGATAATTTTTCAACATAATCTATTTGTATAAATAAGAAGTTAAATTATAAAAAATTATTAAAATTTTATAATACATAACCTATATTATATTATATGTCAATTATGATAAATAATTTAAGTAAATAATAATTTTATTATAATTACATATTGTCATGATTTAAATTCACAAAAATTATAACAGAAAATATATATAAAATATATAAATATATATTAATTTTCTTATAATAATTTTTGGTTTTAGAAAGTATTTGAACCATCAGAAAAAGGATCACAATTACTTCCAGAAGGATGGAACATGCAACCAAGTTATACATTACGTTACGTAAATAATGGAAAATTATTTATATTCCATGGTATAAAATCTGATGAAGATCTACTTATAAATTTATTGGTAATTTGAATAATAATCTTTTAGACGAAGAGTAGCAAATTAATATTTATGAATATTTTATTTTACAGAAAATTCATGATCAAAAAGTTTCTACCATTCAGTTTCCAATTAATCAAACTATAAATGATCTCCATGGAACATTGGAATTTATAATACCTTCATATCAAAATATTATAAATATAATTCAAACAGATATTATAGATACATTGATTCCTAGTAATACAACAGAAAATTCTACTCAGACAATATATAATGCACCTGGAGATGATTCATTAAGAGCTGATCCATTAAGGGTATTGCCACAATCTTCATTAGCATCATCACAATGGTAATACTCGCATCGATTCATAAAAAAATTGATATTTTATGATAAAAAGTTTAATTAAAAATCTCTGTTTTAATTATAATTAAATAAAAGGCCTGACAGGGAGACAAAAAAACGAGAATCGATGCGATTTCAATGTATTAAATTTAAAAATAATATATGAAACATCTTTACAGAATTTTCATAATGATGATATAAATCTGGATGTATCAATTTTTGAATTATGAATCTTAATCATTTAATTTCAAGCATGAAAAAGTAATCTCTTTTTTTCGAAAAAATCAGAATTAAGTCTTACATTTCATTACTATTGATCCCGCAAACATAATTGGTATAAATATTTTTATTATCTCCATGACATGCCTAAAATAATTACATTTTCTTTTTTCAATATAATATTTTTTTATATAGCAAATAATATCTTTTATATTTCTTAAAAAATATTTAATTAAAATCGTTATTTAAAATTTTAAAGGCGTCCTGCAGCTGATCCTACAAATATAGGAGCTGCAGATTTAAATCCATTAGGACGCGGCGGTGGTATGATTTTTGATCCATTTTCATCGCAACGTAATCCTATAGATCCATACAGACCAGCTTTAGGAGTTCCTGGCAGATTACCATCGTAAGTTGATAAAATAATGATAATATTTTATTTTCATTTGCATATAAAAATAAAATATTAAAAAATTATCACATTACAGTGGCGCAGTTCCGCCATTTGCAAGATTCGATCCTTTTGGTCCACCAGATCTTGATCGAGCAAGACCACGACGTGATCCAGATAATGATCATTTACCTCCTCCAGGATACAATGATATGTTTATGTAAAATGAACAAAATGTAACAAGAAATATATCGCTAAGATTTATTATTATACATTTTATTTTTATGTTATTCGAAATATATAATTATAATAAAAAAAAAAAAAAAGAAATTTAGTCAAGCAATATTAAATAAACGATTTTACTTCTATGTAAAAAAAAGATTTTTAAAAAATATTTTATTTTAACGATGCGTAACACCGATATTTATTTATTTTACTATATTACTATGTTTTATTTTTATACGTATCTTAATAAATAATATATAATAAAAATATACAAATTGTTATCTTTTTTTTATTAAAAATATTTTGGACCTTTTTTGATTCCTTTGCTATCATAGTTTATATAAAATGTAATAAAATAAATGTAGATAAACAAAACAAATAGAGTATATTTAAAATTATGAAATCAGCGCCATCTCTAATGTGCCTTAGACAAAAAAGCATAGACAAGGAGAATAAATAAAAAGAAAAAGATAGATAAAGTAAGAATTCATTTTTAGCGCCATCTCTTAAATAGCAAAAGAATTTCAAATTTGTATAATTTTCAAGAGATGACGCTAGTAGTTATTTCTTATTCTATTTCTATTCTTTTCTAATTATTTTCTCTCTTTGTTATATTAGTTTCATTTGCGGCACTCTAGAGATGGCGCTGATTTCCTAATTTTTATTCTATCTCTATCCTTCTCTTTATTTGTTCTCCTTGTCTATATTAGTTCTTTTATAATATATAACTTTGAATATAACGATTGTCTAATTTTTACCCTATCTCTATTCTTTTGCTACTATTTGCTTTTGTTGGCTATGCTCTTTTTGTGCGTAACCACAAACAAGATATTTCATGGGATGTTAATTGAACACACATTCATCATTTCTCTTCCAAAACTACAATGTGCCTTAATCTTTAATATAAAAAATATAGATATTACATTTTTAGTTTTACAATGTATCTCTACAATGTCAACCTCGTAAAACAATATATCCTGATATATAATTCTCGGTAACAGCGAATTTAAACAATAAAAGCCTAGCCCAATAATTAATGAAGTAGGAAAAAATTTTGAAGCATTTATCGAAAAATGATTTATTTATAAAATTATTGAAATTTAATTTTAATTTCAACCATTAATATTAACATTGCAATCTTAATTTGAATCGAATCAATAACGTTGAAAATAATACTAAAATGAGTCTAAGAGGATCCTAGAGTGTCTCTACGAGGCATGGGACAAAAGTATATATCGAATGTTAAATCTATTCTATATCTCGTGTGCAATTTAATGCTTTTGTTTTTCGTTGATTGACATTGATTGATTGAGACAACGGTATAATTAAAACAACTTTAAGATAAAGATAAGACATAATGGCATAAAATCTTAGCTTATTACCAAACTCTCTCAGAATACAATATATTCATGTAAAATGAATACATAAAATATATCGATTTAGATCATAATTATTACATATTATTATTATTATTATTATTATAAATATTTCTAATTTTGCAAAAAAGAGAAAAGATGGAAAAGAATAGTTATTTTAAATAAACAATTCCATTTGTTTGCAAAAGAAAGATCGCAAAGAGATATTTTATTTTGGCAACGCATCAGACATATATGTAAGTGATACATCACAAAATATTTCTTCACAAAACGACTTCCATTCTTTTTTATTTCATTACTGATGTTTTACAATATAACAAAATTCTTCATTTAATTTAATCAATTAATACAGCAGTAGGTAGGAAATTACATTAACAAATCAAATATATAATAATAGTAATTTTTGTTTAAATTGCGCTAACTCGTTAAATTTATTTTTTGCATAATCGATTCGAAAGGAGTGACTGTTCTTACTTCATTACGTCGGTTCAAAATAGAGGATTTCTTTGCTACCTAAGTTGTTCCTGTTCTTGTTATTCACATGAATTGAAACATTTTCTTTTTAACATAAAATAGAATCATCGTATGAAACGATTTTCTCAATCGCTAATTTATAAAATTATAACGATTAAACTAAATACTTCATGCTTTTATGGATTATTTTTTTCTTTTTCAAAAAAATAAAATAAAATTTGATATAGCGTTTCGATTCAATTCTTCGAGAATAAAAGTTTTTTTTTTTTCTTCTTCTAATGTTCTGTGACTACGCGAAACAGTAAATATTCAGATCAAAATATGTCTCTAAATATAATTTTAAATAAGATCTACGAATGCCCATTGATTATTCGATTTAAAAATGTGGGCTGTAACCTTGAAAAGATCTTTAAACGTCATTTTCACAGGTAGCACGTTTTCAATAAGCCCAATCATTAATCCCTTCTAATTTTCGATTTTTTTTTCGCAAAAAATGTATCACAGACAAAATATGTTCACTCATATACGTAATTACTTCACTACAATGAAGTATAACTTGAAGAAGTGAATCGACGTGCAAAATTAATTTCCACATAATAAAAATTTGTTGGTAACTTTTTCAATGAATTGCTAGGTATACCTAATTAAAGTATTAATATCTTACCTTAAAAAAAAAAAAAATCATATTCAAAAAGAAGAAATAAAGAACATTTCACCGATTCATGATAATTGTTACAATAATCTACGAAGGAAAAAAATTGAATAATTAGAAGATTATTGAATTTCGGATCTAAGGCTCGATAATTTTCTTTTTTTTTACGAATATCCCTCGTCCCATCCTCTGGTAAAAAATATTGCAGTTTTTTTAACATTACAAAAAAGGAGCTGTACCAGGTTCAAATTTCATTTCGAGTCTGAGATTATGGTGAATGTACAACAGTTATACATGATACTTAAAAATTATGCACAAAAAGGACGAATATCTTATCATTGGCGTATCATGCATTGAATTCATCATTAGTCAATAATCTCGTAGAAAAACGTCATTCAGGATTCTTATACACTAATCATCAAAAATGGAAGAAAAAAAAAAAAAAAAAAAAAAATAACAAACATCGATTATGATAATTCGTCACATCACTCTTGTATACAACCATTGCTATAAGCACAAGAAACGATTATAAACACAATTCCATGTATCATAATACATACAAAAACGTACATTCACATTAAATCGTCAGACTTATGAAATGATCTAAGTATTATATTCATTAGTTTAGGAGCGAATTTTTTTTCTATCTTTTGAACACAGTTTAGTGTGGCGTACAGCATCACCGACAATTTTACCAAAATTGCGAGTACGATTACAATATATGCTTCACACAAAATGCGTATGCAGCTTTTTAAAATTTATCGAATAAAAGTGGATGTTTTAAAAAATTTTGGTGAAATTGCCGTTAAGCTACGATAAAAGTGATATATAACTCTGGAGTGATTTTCTTTCTTCACTTTGTTTCACAATATTCGTTATTTCAAGTTAACGCAGATTCCAAGTCCAGTAAGAGTTAAGAACACTCATCAATTCGGCATGCCACTGGAAATGCAACGCAATTTTTTTTTTTTTTCATTTAAGAGTTATATTTTAAAAATTAATGTTTACAAATTTTAAATACCTGTACACTTTTTATTAAATCGTTTTATTTTATACAAATTTCGGTTTGTTTTTACAAGTGTGGTAAGTATATGAAAATATATGTCACAAGTTCAACGTTGATTTCTAACAATGTATATTAAATTTGATTTGATAGTATAAAATAGAAAACAGTGTTACACACTGATTCAATGTCTATTACACCTATTTTTATAAACTGAATTAAATTAACAGGTTGTATAAATTCATTTTTTTTTTTTTGTAACAGAGATAACATGTACTAACCACACTTTGTTAAAGATTCATGTTTTTAATACATATTATTCCAACAATTGCAAAAAAATTTATTAAATGTAAGTTTAAATTCTGTTTTTCTTTGCTTGTGTTATATGCAAAACATCTGCAAAAAATATTATATTCAATCACAATTTAAAAGTAAATATGTTGAATTACTTAAAACTGTAGTTGATAGGATATTTATTCATTCATTCTGGGAAACGTGAGATTTTTTATTGCACTAATTCTCTAAATAGCTAAATTTGATGATGGCTGGATACAATTGCAGTACCAAAGGAACCATTTTCAATAAAAATCATATTATTCCAAAGATGCTTGTTCCAACCATCCTTAAAATATGTCGCATAAATAACGTATTAACTATGTTCAGAAATTAATTATATGTCTTATTTTATTGGACCAAGTAAATGCAGCCTTCTAGAATACTTGTACGCAATAATCTTAAACGAGGTACTAAGTATTGTTATAAAACGTATAAGTTGATCCAATTTTTTATTTATTATACAAATGATCAGATCCATTAAAATTTTATTACTATATATATATATATATCACGTTTAGAAGGCTTTCTCTGTTCTATAGCATTTAATATTAATTTAGTATCAAAAATAAATACAAAAATTTCATAAAAGAAAAGTGCAAAAAATTATATGCAATTTATTTTTATTTTAAATTGTTTCATTTACGCTGGAAAATCAAATAATGCAAAATATACCATTAAAATTGTTTTATAAGTGGTTCGGTTGCATTTCCATTGATAGGCCAGATTCAGAACAGAGTCAATACAGTATGTCTCTTGTTATCAGGCGCGAAAACCTATACAATTAGGTATACCAATCAGTATGAATTAGTAACTTTTTAAAGAAATCGTTTGATCTATTGGACGCAGCAGGAGTTTTTTTGTCCATTTTTGAGCTTCAACCGAGACTTGGGACGATATTTCTCAAGATAGGCCAGCTGCTTTGAATTGATGGCTCCTCGTCTTTTGCTGAATAAGTAAATCATTTTTATAATTATAACATAAAATAAATATATATATGAAAGCCAAGAAAATTCAAATGTATATACTTACTCCCTAATTAACGCGACTGCATCTTCGTATTTTAATCCCAACTCAATAAGAGCAAGTGCAACTAAGACCGGTGCTCTACCAAGTCCTGCGACACAATGCACTGCCACGCATGCATCTGGAGACTCGCGGAATCGATTTTTTAGCAATTCAAACCATTCATCGATAACCTGAAAATCAATGAAAATTTAATTATGTTATTAAAATCTAATGATTTCTATGATATTATTTTTAGAATAATATAAAATAAAAATATTTACTTCATTTGGTGGAAATGTGCCATCATCAAATACCAAATCTATGACATTGATCCCTTCTGCTTTAAGTTCTTCAATTTTGTACGTTGGTTCACAGACCCTCACTACTTCTTTGACATTGTGCTTTTTTTAATTCCTATTTAAAAAAAAAAAAATTTAATTCTACTTATATGATTTTCATCAACAAGATTTATTTCTAAAATAAACAAGAAACATACTTGAATAAAAGTATGAATGGTCTGATCATTGGGCCGATCAGTAATGAGGAACTTCATGTTTTTATATTCGATCTCGGCGGGCTCCGGTCTGATGTCCTTCACCCTCATGTTGCTCATTTCCTTTTGGACAACAAGTGGTGTAAAACTCCTACTTTTTTACTGTTTTAACTTTTATGTTTTTAATAATTTTGTACGACACTGTTTCTCTTTATTTTTGCAATTTTTGCCACACTATCAAGCAACAAAGGCTGAATTTGACAACTTAGCCCATAGATGTCAGTCTTATAAAGTTATTTCTCATTTAACTAATTGAATACTTTGTTATTTTTTTACAGAGGACAGAACAATGGGTTTACATGTAGACCTCAAGAAGGGTTGTTAAGGTGCAAATTTCACTGAAGGGGAGAGGGCTACGTTACATTAGGCGTTGTTGATATGCGATTGATTCCCACTTGGGATCCTTGACTATGATTCGGAAGATAATCTGAAAAGAGATGAGTGTTAGTATTAATTTTTGAAAATGTTATATTACGTGTTATATAGCAAAAATTAATAGTAAATAATCTTACCTATTTGGCACTGGGTGCGCCTGGATCAGGTGCGCTCAGTAACTACAATGCTTGCATTTAATATTGTAAATTAACAATTGATTCTATTTAATTCTTCTATGTTTTGCGTGATGACTAGCTGATGATTTTCTGACTTTGAGGCAATGATCCCAATATTATAAAAATTTTTTTGCCTGATTAAGATGTTCTTTCCTTATTTCTTTTTTAATAGTACCTAGCAAATTCTAGGGTATTTGGGCGTGTCTCTCTACTTGTGTTGAGCCTGGCAGTATTCTGCACTATCCAGCTGAAACTCCATGTATGTGAGGATGCACTCACCAGGAAACTGTAACATAAATATATAATTTGATTATTAATTATTTCATTTTATTTATTTTTTTTAAAAGTTTAGAACTTTTTTCAAAGTATTATCTTCATAAAAGCAACCAATCAGTTTGATATGAATATAGGTTAGGTCTACGATATTAAACGTATCTTACATATTTTTAAGAAAATATGAATATAAAACAATAAACCTAATAATTATAACGAAGATTGTATTTTGAGACATTATAAGATATTTTTGTTTTATTTGCAATGAGAAAGAGATTACAAATTGTGAATGTTTGACACGTGCCAAACCTTGCGCCAATTTTCGCAAGTATCTATTGTAAGCAATAAATATTTGATAAAATTCTTACCCGGAAAATTGTAAACAATTGTGATAATACTTTGCCACGATAATTCATTACGAACACTCGGCAGAAAAAATTTATTTCACTGAGAAGAAATATGTTCGACCACGCAAATTCCAGAGGATCTGCGTTGTCATAATGACATTAGTCGACATCTCGAAGTAAAATCGATTAGAGGTAAAGCTTACATACCAAACTAGTACAATGTACACTATATATATTATTTTAGAAAATTCTGGTCAGCTATTTTTATTAATTAATCAATTAGTATTTCTATTAAAAAAAGATGTTAAATTAATAAAAAAAAATTAATTTGAAAGAAATATAATTATAAAAAAAATTATACAAATTAAAACAAATTATAATTATTTATTCACAATTCAATTATAAACAATAATGTTCAAAAAGCAAAAAGACACATTAATTATCATGTTAAAAATATTTCTAAATTTACCAGTGGCGCTAATCGCATGATTGTCTATATAATGGTATTCAAACATTTCAATTAGCATAAAAGAATTTTTCCTTTATCTTTGGCACGAATGTTTTGTTGTATAGATGCCAAACGAAGCAGATAGTTTAAATGCAAAGAAGTGTTTTCGTTCATTTTATGCATTAAGTTTTTTAGAAGTTTGTATTAATTGTCTAGATCAACATTTCGAGGACAAAATTATTTACCGAGACATTTTTACACGCAAAATTTAATCAAATGAATCTTTTCGTAACAATTCAATCTACTTTGATATATTTTATTTTGATAATCTTTATTTAAAAGTTTTTCATTCAAATATAAATATATTCATTAGCTAATACATATATATATATATAAATGAAAAGTTATATTACATTTATTTTCTATTAGATTTCATTAATAGAAAATATATGAAAAAACTATACGACTATAATTTTTTAAGTAAAAAGTTACGTTACAAAATTGTGTTTCGAACCTTTTTCCCGTAATTGATGTTCATCAAGTATCAGATTTGTATTGGATCGAAGCTCAATTAAATATTTTTATCCACTGTTTCGATTACAACAACTTTACAATGTTACAATTGTCAAACACTTCGAATTTTTTTTCCTTTTTTTTTTTTTTTGTCGCGCGCGAAGGCCCAGTTGTTTATTCGAGCGATGAATTACGTCGGTATCGCGCAATGGAAATGAGTTCGACTAACAGTCGTCTCTTTACGAACGTTTGTGAATTTGAAGCGCACATCGAATAAATATAGGCGTCGATACTTCGGGGGACACGACGAATGACGCCGCGTCTTTCCGTCAGGATGTCGAGACGATTTACGAAATCTCTTTTTACGTAACGAAAGCTTCCGAAGCAGAAGACGCCGGTCACATCTCGAACTGCGATGACGGATAGGAAAAAGTGAGAGCGCTCGGATCGACGTACCGGAATAACCAGAATAATTGGCAGCCGGTACACGACCAACCATCAACGCGACTCCACACTTTGCAATACGATGTTTCAAGGTTAAATCCATATTGCGAACCCTACATGTTGATTATTCAATTGACCTCGGCTCTTTTAACTTTCTCAATTGATAATGAAAAGGCAGCGATTCTTACATCAATTTCCATCGTATGAATGAGATAAATTTATATTTGTCTATACTATCGCTTGCGAATATCTGATACTTTCGTTGATTTGAAATATCTGTATCTGTTACACATGATATATTAGTGTCGTTAAATTAATGATGATGACTAAAAAGCTATATTTATCGAGTGTTTATTAAAAAAACTAATAGATATATTTTTAAATCGAATATATAATGTATGCACGTGCAATGTTTAAATTATCATAACATATGAATTAGAAGAAAAGTAAAAAAAAAAAAAAAAAAAAAAAAAATAGGTTTTCAAAATTTTTATTACAACACTAAAAATGTAAATAAATATCTTACATAGTTAAAAATCGAGATATATGAGATTTTACGATTACCATTTTAGCTTTGATAAAACATTGATGGAGAAATAAAGATTCATTAAAATGAACCTAGAAACCTACTTCAATATGGAATATGTTGTAAACCTTGGTGAAAATTTTGATTTTAAATTGAATTGATGAATACAAAAAAATGTTTGAATCTGTTGTAAAATTGAATATATATTACATATGTGATACATTTTACAATGTACAAACAAAGAAAATTTAAAACTATAACTTTATATACATTGTATTGCGACAATGTACATTGGTGGCTGAATGTTTGCAGTGGTTAGACTTTTACGAGTGCAGGTTTATTATGTACAAGACAAGCGGAACCACTAACCAAATACATGTAATTGAAGTTAAAATAAATACGAAATTAAATGTAGATAAAATAGATTTATGTGTAAATATTAACTCTACCTCACATTACAGAATTCGATAAAAATCATATCAACCCCCCCTTTTCCTCTTACAAATATCCAGATAATATACTTTCCAGGGAGCCAATTTCCATTTTAGAACATTACGAATGAAAAATATTCATACATAAATCGATCCTCCTATCTCTTCTATTCTCAATTTATAATGCTTTAATATCAAAACTATGAAATCCGTAAAAATGAACGATTTTTGGATTCGAATCGATGAAATTATTATTTGTGAAAATATCATTTCGAAAAATAGTGTAATCTATCCATTTTATAAAATATATTGACGATATTCAAGAAATGAAAAACTTTTATCTTTGAAATTAATCAAAAACCTTCGCTAAGTGTTCGTTAAACGAACATTATTTACAAACATCGATTAATTATTTTCATAATAAGCAAAAATTTCAATAAAATCTTCATGATATATATATATATATATATATATATATATATATATATATATATTACGTTAACTA